CCCCTAGGGTCCTGAGGCTGGAAGGACCGGCGAACTTCCTGGACTGTAGGCATGGTTACCGCCTCTGGTATCCGGCAGAGGGGGTTAACCTGGCAGACGGTGCTGTCCAAGACTAGGCGAGGATCTCGGCCTTCCGCTTTAACTAGGCTGAGCTTGCCTACTGCAATGCCTTTAGGCCATCTCTTCTTGGCTGCCTTCAAGCCACCTGGCACTTGTTGTACCCATCCCGCGGCTTCTTCATCGGCTAGTAGGGCAGCTACCGTTTCCGGGTCTTCTTCCGCTGGGCGCCAGTTTCCTTGGCAGACTTCTAGGCCTGACTGGGCGAGGGGCTGGGCGGCCACAAACCGGAGGGCTTAATTTCTGAGAAGACTCCTGTACGTACGCCTTCCGCTAGGAAGGTAGGTCTGCGTCGGGGTCTTCTATATGTTGGGCGAGGGCTTGCATGAGCTTCAATCTAAAGGGTTGGCCTGGGCTGATTTCTGCCATGGATTTGAGGTCTAGGTCTAAGGCAGAGCAAAGAATCTCAAGGGCTTGGGACTGCTCCTCGGCTGAGAGGGGCTGATCTGGGCGGCTCTGGCTGATATGTGCAAAGACACGCTTTGGTAGGACAGTTTTATGTGCCCATCTCAACCAGGCTTGAGAAGCTTTGCTTAGTCCCGACTGGCTCGGCAAGCTATGATCTGCTGAGCTGGGTGCTCCTGCGCCGTCGTATATGGGCGGGCGGTGGGCAACAAAAGGACCGGAGGTCCTCAGCAGCGAGGCATATGATAGCTCAGATAGGGTTCCAAGCCGAAGTGGCAAGTTGCAGACTCGTCCCAAAGCTTCGAGAGCTAGTAGGGCTAGTAGGTGCGAGTCTGGGCATGGCCACGAAGGCATTCTGGTGGATGCCAGTATCACTTCCCCCGGGCGCGGACTGGGGCATATGTGAAAGGCGGAGTCGTGTAGACAGGCAGCTAACTCCTGGGACTGTAGGAAGACATGATCCCTAGGAATAGTCAGAATCGTCATGGCTGCAGAGGCTTTGGTGGCTTGTAGTAGGGCAATCGCTGCCTCCGTGTCCGGTACGATCGTCGGCAGGGAGGCTATGACTGCAATGATCGATCGGGCCCAGAGGCATTGCAAAATGAGTCCAGACTCTTGTTCCGAGGGCTGCGAGCTCGGCTCTAGGAAGGGGATGGCCTCTCTATTGGCTAGGGCTTTGCACCTGGTCCTAGGTCCCCTGAGGTGTCCAAAAGCAGTACCTGATTGCAGCCTGGCCTGCTTGTAGGCAGGGGATGTCCATATTCTGTTGGCGAACTTTCGTTTGAAGGAGGCTATCTTAGGAACACTAGGCGGGTTCCGCTGGGGTTGAGATGCCGCTGGGGGGTGGCTTTGCGCTTCGTGCTCCGTTTAAGAGGCTTGGGATTGGCAGTCCTCCTGGCCAGCGACCAGCGGAGGACTAGGCAGAGAGTCGGATTGAGAGGCATCGGGGGCCCCCTTCCTTTGCCGTGGCAGGAGTAGGCGAGGAGATAGGAGAGGCTAGTCACGACGTCTTGCCGTCATGGTGGATAGCACAGTGATCCTTTCCGTATCCCCGAACGGCGCAGAGGTGGGCGAATTTGCCGTTGGCTACTGTGCATAGGTTGCGCTGGTATCGCTTGCGCAGAACTTTGCCATGGGCTTTGTAGACCCAATTGGATGGCCAGTCTTCGGATTTGGCTTTGTTGGCTGGGCCCTTCCCCTGCTTGCCCCCCTTACCTTTCCCTTTGGGATTCTTAGGCGGAGTGAACGGGGTCGTCCTAGTGCGCTTAGGCGGGGGGGGCGTAGGGGTGTTAGGTCTTTCTCTGCCTTTATTGGGCGTGGAAGGCAAGGCATTCCTAGGTCTGGGCTGCAGGAGGTTGGATAGGTCGCTGCGGATGGATGTGACCTCGTAGAGGGCTTCGTCTAGACTCCATCCCGATGAAACCAAAGATCCTGTAGTGCCCCAGATCTTACGATCAGCCGTGAGCAGTTCCTGTGTGGTAGGCCCACGTAGGCTGCTATCAGCTAGGTCTGGAAGGGCTAGGTCTAGGACCCTTTTATCAAAGGCTTTGAGGTTATTTAAGTGGGCTGCTCCGCATAAAGCCCAGGCATTCCTATAGACTGTTTGAATTCTGGACAACCAGCTAGCGGCGAGGCGCAAGTGAGCCACCGGCATCTCAGGCGTATCGTCATATAGGGCTGAGGCCAACAACTGGGCTTCCGTGCGCATAGGCTTGGAGGATTTGGCCTCCATAATCTCGGTGTATTGTTTTGTACTTAGGCGGAATTGCCAGGGGATCCATCGGATCTTCTCCCCCGGCTTGAGGCTGTGTTGTACTAGGCTGAGTAGACGGATACTCGGCATAGTATCATCGTCTAGCAACTCTCCTGGGTAGTTGGTCTTGGAGTCATCGACCAATTCCTGGGCAGCTTCAGGGCTTAACTTAGGGGGTAGATTCTCTACCCAAGAGGCTGGCGAGGCTTGAGGCAGGATAGCTGCTGAAAGGCTGGGCTGTGCCTGGGCCTGGTGTGTAGGCTCAGCTGGCTGTTGGCTGAGGTCATGGGCGAATCGTAGGGCTTTGCGGAGTCTGGCCGCATGTATCCCGTGGAACTGATCCGTAGACCCCATATCGCTCAGGTCTGTTTCTGAAAGACCCGAAAGAAGGGAGTCGAGGCTTCGGAGCTCCGGAAAGGCATAGGCAAAATCGTCCACTGTCTCCAACCCCTTAAGGGTAAGAGCTTGGGCCAGGACTTCATGGACCCCATGGTTCTTGAAAAACTTCTCCAGCTCCATGGAGGAATCGGTTGACATGGCGAACTACGAACACTAACAAGATTGATGTATAAATGGCTGCAGTCGTGGACATGTGGCCAAGGCTAGTGGGCATCGAGGCTGAGGCATCGCAGATTCTTTGTCAGAGGCTATGGCATCGCGTCTAACAGTCTGTAACAAGCCTTACGCTTGCAGAAAAATGTAGGGGATGGGCAGGAGGGAGCGAAGGCTGCGGAGGTCTTAGACGCTCCGCAGGCTGCTCTTTCTTCTCCTTGTCGGCATGCATGGATCACTCCCCATGGGCCGTTACGGAAGAGGCTGAACGTGGAGAGCTCCATGGTTTGGGCCTCCTCCTGTTCGTTCTCGGATTCGGAGGAGCTGTGGCCTTGGTTGGCGAACTTTTCCACCAGTAGTGCCTCGGTGTCGTACTCGGGTATTGGCGGTGACGAAGACTTGGGCGGTAGGCCTCGTTCCGGTTCTAGAGGAGGAGGCTCGGGTAGGTCTGCTGGAGGGAGTCTCTCTAGGTCTGCTTCCCTTGAGTAGACGAAGCGCGAGACCCCCTCGCCGCAGGTCGAAACCTTGTAAGATTGGCTAGGCTGGGACCTATCCACATGGAAAGGTGGCTCGAGTGTCGGGGGTTGTCCCCCCCTGGCTATAGGCCTGGCTGGCCTCCAGCCCTGGGCACAAGCTAGGCAAATCTGTTTTTGTAGGTCGAGGGCTAAGATGGTGTCATCACGGCTATACAACTGCACACTTGGGCTTTTGTGATGACCCTGATGCTGTCTTGCTTCTTCGGCTGCTCGAACTTGAGCTCCAGCTGCAAGTAGGCAGACCTTGAGGCTGTGCAAGGTAAACGCTAGGCTTTCTTCTGCAGTCACTGGAGTGGGTTTGGTGGCATCTTGCCAGGGAATGGTCAAGAAGTGGCGCATCGCAGAGGCTTTGGCTATAGGACATGGGCTTTGCGTAGATAGAGGCCGGTCGAGAGAAGCCACCCAGGTTGGTGAGGACCGGTAGGATGAAGTCTGGATTTACCGGGGCCTTCAAGGCTTTCTCAGTGGCTAACCAGGCTGACTGGACTGTTTGCAGGAACGGAAGAACCCAGAGGGATTCCACCGATCTGCCGGAGAGGCCGTGAGAAGTGTGACTGCAAATGGCTGGCCACGCTTGGTAGTCTTCGTCTGCCAACAGACTCCTCTTAGGCTAGAGCTCGTGAGGGATAGGCTGTTGAGGCGTATTCGCTGCAGATCGCCAAACCTGAGGCCCCCCGTGGAGAGCCAGCAAGAGGCCGCCTAGTAGGAGTCGTAGGTCCTGTGGGCAGTGAGGTGTACAAATGTACCTTTCCCACTCCACTACCACCGCTAAAGGCAAAGGCAGAGCCTCCTTCCGGTCTGATGTGGGCTGGGTGAGGAATGCTTTAATGAGGCTTGCCTGCAGGATCGGCTGGAGCACGGGAACGTCGGCATTCCGGCCTAGCCATGAGAGGGCTTTCAGAGTAGGCCTTGGTCCAATTTTGCAAACTTCTCTGTCTTCCTCGAGGCTATTCTCACATGCATGAAGAAAGTCGGCTAAGAAGGCGACGTCAATATCAGTTAGGGTGCGGTGGCTATGGGCTGCTGTCTGGACGACGGTGGCAATCTAGGCACGTCCACAAGGTCGTTGCAAAAGTGGGAAGGAGGGACCCCGAACGCCGTCGGGCAAAAGGTCCCAATGTACCCATCGGCCTTGGGTCCTATATATAGGCTTGTACTGAAGGGCCGCCCAAAGTTCTTGCCTGTTGAGAGGCTGCTGGTCCCCTGGGTCTGAGTCTCTGAATAGACAGTCGGGCATGCTCCCACGGGCTACTTGCTGTTTGAGAGTTTGCAGCTGAACAGACTCTCCCAAAATATTGAATAGACAGGTGTCAGGCTTCGGCACCATCCATGGGTCCTGGTTAGTAGGCGGCTGTGGAGGAGGCTCATCTCGTGTAGGCTGCTGCGAGGAAGAGGCTGCCGCATTGGCTGCGAGGTCATCGTCCTGCCAAGGCATCTCAGGGGGTATACTTCCCGAGAAAAAATTGTCTTGTCCAGTTGAGGCTGTGGAACGCTAGGCTCTTCAGGGATAGGCGTGGTAGCTGGATTGTTCTCTGAGGTCGATTGCACCGTAGGCGCGGGAGGATCGTCGGCGGAGGAGGGGAGGCTCGATCCCATGGCCTGCTGAAAAGCTTCTTGCTGGGCCGGAGGGAGGAGCTTTATCCACTCACGGAGAGCTTCCTGGGCGGTCCGAGCGGAGGCCATGGCCAGCTGGCTGGACCAGAGCCAAATGCAACTGTGCAGCAAGTTGGCTATTAGATGCTCGGGCATGATCGGCAATCGGCGAAGCTGGCTAATAATGCAGTGCAGCAAATGTGTGGGCAGACTGGCAAACTCGGTCCTTGGCTGGACTCGGCGAAGCGATCGCGCCTGTCGATGAGTGCATGGCAAGGGCGCAATACTAGTCTAGGGCAGGTCCGAGGTAGAGACCTGGCTTGCGAAGGAACACCTGGGCGAGTCGTGGCAAGCATGAGGTATGCTTTCTAGGAAAACATCGTAGTAGAGGCCGCCTTTTTCGTAGGCTGAGGCTTAGGTCACGCGGCTGTGTCTAGGTCGGAACCGTCTAGTAGTGGGCCTTGATAAGAGGCACTGTCTAAGGCTTGCTCTGTGAAATACTGTGCAATCGTAGGAAAAGATTATTGCAAGGTTACAAATAGGCCAGCTAGGCGAGAAAGAGCTCTTTGTAGGCTGACGCGTATAGCGTCGACTTTGGAAGACATAAAGGCCCAGGGCGAAATTAGGCTACGCAATCTTTGGCTATCAGATGCTGCTCGGTGATGATGCCATAGGGCTTGTTGGGCTCCCGAGCGTTCT